CAGCAGGATATTCTCATACCTCCCTATTGATGGACAGAAATGAAGGACTCTGGTATTTGCAGCTGTTACCAGTCTGAATAATACTGCAGTAGTTAACAAAAGACCTAAACGTAACTGACACCACATCTGTGCCATTAAATTTTCCTAGCAAAGACATGTCAAAAAAGAGCTGAAAAAAGTCACATCCTTAATTCATAAAGCTAATTCAACAGCAACCTGGAGTATAGACAGCTGTGCTGGCAAAGCAGCACTTCTTTGCCAGAACTTATGCTGTTCATGAACATGGCTGACCCCCTAAAAAAAAAAATAATACAGGTTCACTAATGGGCATTGCTGGAATAGCTAGAGCTACAGAGGCTGGCTGTACACACCCAGAGAAACACTACAGTAGTGGAAAACCTGTCACAAAGACTGCACGCTACCATGAACACTGGTTAAAATGACCTTTCTTTGTTACAGAAAAATCTCTCCAAATTACACTGTCTTCAAACTAACCTGAACTTTCATTATTTAGCAAGTTGCCATAGTGCTGTTGAAGTCAGTGACAACTTGCACCAGAGCAGATCTGTTTAATGTATTACACCACAATTCTTCAACTTAGATTATTCTACCTGTGATTATTCTTCGCTGTTCTGTCTTTAAAAGCTCAGGAAATTTTATGTTCAGTATAGTATAAATATTTAGATGAGTACACCTTTTTTTTGTTTGGAAAAAAAAATGGTCCCTTTGTAATATTTCAAGGATTATTTCTTGATTTAGATGGTATTGCTTATAAATTAAAAATGAAAGTTTCAGCGGCCTCTGATCTTCTTTCCTGAGGGATGTGAATAACTCAGAAAAATAATATGAGGTGGTTCTATTCCTTCTTAAATTATGTATTTGGAGCTGTTCCAATTTCTCTAGTTAATAATAATTTATCTTTTCTGCAAAGTTTTTAGAAGAAACAATTTAATACAAAACATACATTTTAATAGTGTCAGTATTATGATTCCAAACAATAAAATTCAGGAGCCAAAATGTAAGGAAAGCATGGGTCTTGAAAATTCCAGTTGTACTTAGAAACTTCCTGATATCATTATCTATACAGTGTAATTTTAATCCTGCAATCACACATGAATAATTTTATTCCACTGAAGCCTATGCAACTACTATTGGGCATAATTATTCACAATCCTAGTTACAGGACCAGAGCACACTTTATTTAAGATTCAATTCCTCTTTGTTATGAAATCCACAGACAAGAAAAGTACATCATAAAAATTATCAAAAGCAATAAATATTTTGTGCATTGGAAAAATATAAAATCAATTTGTTAACTCTTAGAGGCATATTTATGTGAATCAGAAGCATTCCTACAACTAATGGCATTCCTATAATTATTAACTATGAATTTGAAGGTATTACCACACTATCTGACCAATGATGGTCAAAAAAAAATTCCACGTGAAATAACAGCTCACTTACAGGAGCATGATGCTTCTCAACTGCTTTCCTTTTAGTTTCTGTTTTCAATAAAAGTCAGACTGCAAGTAAAAATAGGAGACCAGCCAGCCTCCAGCACAAGAAAATGCTGCACACGGTGAAATATGTCTTACAGAATTAAATGAAGACAGTAAGACTCAGCTGTAGGCTAAGAACGTGTGAAAAGATGCAGGAAATTGTCTCATTGAAACACTGGGTTCAGACACATTTCCCTTGTTAGACCCAGTTTCTGGTACAGGATTTGCAGTCCCTAACATCTCTCTCCCCCAGCCAATTTAGTGCATATAAGCTCAAGCATGGTACATTTCCTCAATCAATCACTTTTAGTACGCAAGTTCCCGTGTTACTTAACAACTTTAAGTTCTGAATGTCCTCAAGGAGCAACCAAGTTACAGTTCCCATTTACTGTGGCTTCTCATTTCAATAAATCAACATAACTTCCTGGCTTCTCAGTTAATAATATGCTTTGGACCACCGCACTGCAGTAGTCTGAGGGCATATCTAGCAACATGCAGGGACCTCTGGGCCACCTGTACTGTAAAGTAAAAATATGTTTAGTTACATCCATTTGGGAGCAAGTTCCCATAGATGCTTCCTATTTTATTAGCATATTTCCTTCCTGGTAAAGGTAACAATTCCTTAGCCTTTGTCAAGGGTTCTATTTTATTTAGGCAGCAAGACATTTCAAAGAGCAGGAGGGCTGGCAGCTTTCAGAACAGAATGTGCAGAGCTGCCCCATGATTTCCTTTCAGTTTTGAGTGGTGAAGGGGACCGGGTGCAGTGAACTCCAAGAAGAGTAAAGTTTCAGTCACCCTGTGCAATATCCCAGAGAAGAATGAGTGGGAGCAGCTTAGTATTTCTAGCAATTACTGGTGCCCACATCTCTGTATTTTCTCCTCACATGTCCTGCTTCAAGAATGGTTTGTTAAGCCTTTGCCTAAGCCTTTCCTAATGTTTAAGTCCTGGATTTTCTGCAGGAAATCACCTCGTGCTGGATAGCTTTTATTAATATACTTGCTCAAGGTAAGTTTCTTACAACTTCCAGGTAAAACAAATGGCAAAATTAATCCCCACAAGTACAGGTAAATGCATAAAGGCACCAAGCATCTCACTGAAATATGGACAGTTTTTAAATCATGTTATCTTCATCTAAGTTCTATGAAGTCTTAGCTACATTTAGTTTTTGTTATAGTAGAAGCAAGAAGCAAGTCACAGTTCACAAACTAATCCTTATGGAAACGAGAATGAATGCAGTCAGTTCTCAGGCTTTCTTCAAAATTTCTTTCATATTGAGGGAGAGGCATCTTCTGTTAAAAAGAACACACTAGTGGCTGGACAAAGCCCAAAAAGGCTTCTGTTGCAGATCTGGCAACACTGTTTAAGTTCATGAGATGAAATGAGACAATACCTCTGTCTCCACTTTGCAGCGATCTGAGTTCACTGGCTCTTGCTTCACTTGAGGGCCCACTTGCCACATTTTTGAGTTTCTCTCCTTCACACGACTACATACTGTTTACATGTACTAAAATCAGCAAATAAGTCACCCTGTATGACTCACGTGATTGCAGATGTCCCATCCCCAATACCACACCACAACTTCAGTGAATTTAAGCTGAAATCAATTGTCTGAACAACACAGTTGTTGCATGAATGTTGTATGTTGGTTTTAAGTTGAATGGGAAGAAGTTTAGTACTGTACCTGAGAGGATCTGCTGAATCCCAAAACAGAAAAACATTTTGCTTCTGTTTTGTATTTCATCTGCTCTTCATCTTCCTTTGAAAAAGGAACTATATCACTCCCATAGCGAAACCCTGGAGAACAAGAGAAGAGCATCTGGTACACATATGGGCCTACAATTCTAACACCGAAATTAGTTCTCTGAATATTTTAACAATGCATGCATGCCCCACAGCTACACTGCACACACACTCATAAAATTACTTTCCCTGTTAACAAAAAACCACACACTCCATAGACACATTTTGTACTTCACAAATAGCAGCTGCACTCCTTGTACATTGTTTAATGTAACAGTTACCCTCGTAGAGAGCAGGAAAGAAAATATGGGAACTGAACATCTTGCCCAACAAAGTTATGCTCACAGAATAGATTTAAGCAAATCAGAATAGATTTCAGCAAATAGATTGCAACACTCCCTGCAAACGTAATACAAAAAAACCCAAACATATCACAAATCATGGACAGGAAATGACACCAGAAGGGATTCAGAAAACATAGTTAAAACATAACTATGTTAACAGTGGACATGAGATACATTACAGAATCACAGAAACACTAGGTTG